TGTATTCATCTTTGTAGTCAAATGTAATAAGCATCGGAAATCAAATCTATTATTAGAGTTGTCTAATTGTAAATAAAGTCATATAACTCTGGGATTTTAAATGTACTTCTTTAACTAGGACAGTTTATGTTTACGTGCCTCCCTCCAGTTAACGCTATAATTATGTTTCAGGGACAAAGTTTCTAAATGTGATCACCTTCAGTTATTTGTATTAACAGTTATCTGGTAGTTGTATGTATTGTTTCTAAGTTTGGAATATGTTATAACATGAATGTATATTAGGTTGAGCACTGGTTATGCAACACTGATTACTGATATGGTTGGATGTCATGTTTCAGTCCCTAGAATTATTTCCGTCTTTAGTGCAGTAAAGGTATTTAACATTTATAAAATGTTCGGAAACTGCTCTCTTGTATGTTCCTCATTTGTGTTCCTCCCATGCAAATCTTCAGAATTTGAATAAGAGGAACAAAATGAGCCGACAGTGACCTTATCTACTATTCTATCAACATGTCCATGAAAAGGTGGTCCAACGAAAACCCAAATACTTTCTTCAAAGGGTTAATATCCATCCGAGATGTAAAATGCCACATTTTATATTTACATGAACATCATATTAGTGTCAGAAGTGGGTAGAGTACCCAAAATATGTACTCAAGTAAGAGTAGCACCACTCTAATATTATTTTACTGAAGTAAAAGTTTAAAAAAGTATTTAGTAAAAAGGTACTTGAGTACTGTGTAATTGCTGCATAATAACATCAGATTTAATATTTATAAATTATGCTGGCAAACAGATTTTATGTACAAGTTCTGGCAATTTAAAATCTCAAATGTCTAAAGAATACAAAAAAAATTCCTAAACATAGAAGAAAAAATTTTTGTTAAAAAAAAAACACATTTATGATTTTTTTTTTCCAACATAAAACTGTAGAAAACCAGTCCCTATAATGAGAACTGTACATATGTTAGGACAGGATAACGAACTTCCACTGTTAATATCTGTTTACTTTATGTTTACCTGATTTTAGAATAGTTCCAATTACGCACAGAGGACAGAGTCAGCGATTTTCCACAAAAGTAGGAGTAGTGATACTTTACAAGAATATAATTCAAGTAAAAGTAAGAAGTACAACACAGTAAACCTGCTCTTAAAAGTACTTTTTTTTTTCAAATCGTTACTTGAGTAAATGTAACCAATTACTACTCACTTTTATTAGTGTTAACAGGGTTTAGCATTTATTACAAACTGTCTGACAAAAGTTTCCTTTTTATCCAGTGAGGGATTATTATTATTATTGTTTTTTTATACTTCAAATATTTAAGTATTTCAAAATTTCCTTTTCTCACACAACAGTTTCATTTTTGGTTTAAAACGACACACCACTTCCTCATCAGAATAAAGGGAGGAGATCTGTTGCTATGGAGTTACCTGGCAACCCTGGGGCCATGGGTTGCCAGGTTGAGGAGAAACACGGTGAGCTAGATCAGCATATAAAGCTGATTCTAAAATTGTGTTCAAACTACAACAGCTCCAGATTAAAGCAGCCATGAATTGAAAGAGTTAATATTCAGTGGAAGAGATTGCTGCTAAAGGTGTGATTGCTTTAAAATAATTTTTAATACCTGGCAAATTTATTAAAGATCAACATGTTTTCATCCTCAGCAGAGAAGGAAGCTGACATCAGGATTGATGCTGGTGGAAGGTGAGCGAGGAGGAGAGCTTCTAGGTTAGGAAGGATTTTAAGGTCAGAAATCTTCTGGACATCAGAAGGAACCAGCAGAGTCTGAGGATAAAACTGGCTGTAGTTGATGCTCCAGGTCTCCTGGTGGTACGCTGAAGGCAGATATCAGTAGATCCATCTCACCGTTTCTCCTGGTCCTCATTCACAGATTATCCAAATTCACAGATTAATGCAGTTAAAATCATCTAACCCAGGGGTCTTCGAAGTTTTCCAG